CTTCCTACAGATGCAGCTCTTGCCCAGTAATGTTCATAAGGGTATTATACAGTTCAGCAAAAAGAACTGTGTGGGGTTAAGGGATCAAGCTGTGCTGTCACAATTTGTCATAACCTTCTAAATCTGTGTATCTACATTGGGGCACGATCTGATGAGTTGTACCAGTTATTCCCCCAAGCACTGAGGATGGGCATGTATGTATGTGAGGGAAAGCCTGCTTTATCCGATGGATTAGGAAACAGAAGAAGCCTAACAAGTGTTTTGGGGGCAGGATGTTTCACGGCATGTCCACCAGACGATTCCAGGGAGTCGGCAGGTTGCCTCCCTTGGTCAAGTTAGTGATTAAAGCGTTAACCGGAGCCTCCTGGAGGTGGAACCGTGACTAAGGGCGGGCTCCTGTCAGCGCTTGGAGAAAGTGGTAGGTAAATATTCCCGACGTGCACCGAGGTGCGGGGAGTGTCCTGGGCTTCCAGCATTCCCAGTTTGTTAAGCAAAACAATAATTACCAGCCCGGTGGGTCCCGAGCAGCAGCAGCGGAGGCGGCTGTCCGCGCTGGCCATGCTGCCATGCCCCGTTCGCGGCTCAGGGAAAGGCGTGTGAGGCTCCTGCTGCGCTTCTCCTGCTCCGATCGCCCGGCCAGGTGAGTGCCGAGGGCGGCTGGGGCAGCTCTGCGGCGCTCTCGGGGGAAGCGAGGTGTGCTTGCAGCCACCCGAACTCCGGGCACACTCCTCTGGGGCATGGGGGTGCCGGGGAAAGGACAGGAGCTCCCAAAGGCTGTGTGAGAGCCGGCTGAGGCTGGGCGGGCGGTCACAGGTAGTGCCGCTCCTTCTGTGCCCGTGGCCAGGAGCCCGCCGTGCCCTTCATTCGCTCCGGGAGTGACCGGGGAGCGACAGCGGTGACCTTGTGCGCTCTTTTCGGCGGCTGGAAACGGCCCGTGCCGCTCGGCTGCGGGCACAAAGTAACTTCTCCTAAAATGGGGGAACACAGTGTTTGAAGGGGATGTGTGCGAGCCCCGCTCTGGCAATGCCCGAGGGGAGGGAGCGTGCGCGCGTCCTGCGGTGTGCCTGGGAAAGTTAAGGGGCCATATTCACATAATCCAATTTACTGCTGGTTTTGTCAAATCCCATTCCGAGCCTGCCTGAGCAGAGGGCTTATGCTGTGATTTGTACTCAAGGAGTGCTCTTAATGCTTTGTACTGAGCAGCTAATTATTAAAATAAGGTGTGAAGAAATCTGAAAGCCCGAGGAAAAAAAAAAAAACCCCCCTTTTTTAGCGGGGAAAACACAGTTGTTCAGAATAAGTACTTTTTTTAAATTACCACTTTTTTCTTTGGTGGTAGGGGCATCTAAAGTAAACAAAAAGAACAAAAAAGGGGAACGTGAAGTCCCACAACTAGTGTATGTGACTAGTAAAATTATTCTGCTGATACTGAGTTTATCTATCAGAGCAAATCTTGAATTCATCTTTATAGAAACCAATCAGGATCGAAAAATTTGCTAAATACCAGCCACTTGTGAGTTTAGAAGATGACTCAGCTGGACATGGTGTTGTGCCTGTGTACAAAATATTTTATGTGCATGTAGTGGATAGCTGAGTTAACAGGCAGCTGAGCCTTGTGGTTTCTGTAAAAGAAATAGAAGAGATTTGCCCTATCCTGACTTCCTGTGGGTTTGGAAGGGCTTTGGGGAGCATTGGGTTAAAATACCTGGGGGTCTTTGCTGAGCTTTGGGGTTTCAGTTTCTCTAGCAGGGGCAGAGGCTGTCCACAGTGCACTGCACTCTGCGGGCCCTGTCTTCAGATATGGATGCCCCAGAAAGCACATCCAGGCTCTTCCACAAACTGAGCTGCTGCCTTGCTGCTCCTGCTTGGTTCAGTGCTGGATCCTGGGTGTCCCTCTCCTTCCTGTTCTCCTCTGCTTCTGCCTTTTTTTATCCTTGTCTAAAAATCTGTGTAGCCATTTGCTCTTAACTTCTGCTTTGTCATTCCTGCACTCTACTGTGCCTGGTCTGTCCCCTTAAGTAAATGACTTAAATATCACTGTACTGAATAAAAGGGAGTAAGTCCTCTTATCTGCCTCTGCACTGACACTTGGACTTTTTCTTTGAGGGGGAAAAAAACCTATTTCAGGTAAGATATGAATCTTACAGGCAAGTACAGCTCATTACCTTTGTGAGATTTGCCTTGTGCCCTGATGTGCTGATGCTCTTGCAGCTTTGAAATGTGCACTGGTCTGTTTTCACTTTGCTTTTCCTAGACTCCTCCAATAGTTGCAGTCCTCCTCTAGAGATGCTCAGTTTGCAGCTCCCCCAGTTTTCATGTCCTCCTGATTTTTCCTTTGCTTTCCTTTCTGTCCTTCACTACATATTTCAGGCTTCAGTCAGTCTTCTTCCAAGCATTAGGTTTCTACTTGACTAAGTCTCAGGCCAGCAGTTTAGTCCAGCCAAGATCCCACTTTCCTAACCTACCTGAGGAAATTCTGCCCTTCTAATCCTGTTTAACATAATGGTAAAGACACCTGTGTGATACCAAGTAAGTCAGGAGAAGGCTTTGGATAAATGGCACAGGCAGATATGGCTGGAGTGGCTGGAAAATCAGCATGGTTTGGTTAGTTCAAATCAAAGGGAGCAGTGGAGAAGGCATTTCACTTCAGTTTGCTTCCTCAAAAGGGCTGCAGGGAAGTGGCATGGAAAGCAGCAGGATAGCAGGAGGTGATGGGAAATGTCCCAGCTTTGTGTGTTTAGGGAGCGCCAGTGCAAACATCCTGGCATCTGTTGTGTCAGGTACTGCTGCTGGGGAAGGCACTGAGCCATGGCAGCCCACAGGTTTGGGTCTTGGCTAAAAATAAGCCAGAATGTGCCCATGGGAAGGGTCCAGGGATAAGAGGTTCACCTCTGCAGTGAGCTGGTGCTGTGGAAGTGTTTGGTGCAAGGCTGATAAGCACAGCAGGTCACGTAACTGAGGAGAACAGTGGGAGTTGTGCTTCTCCCCCAGCCACAGCAGAGAAGGCTCTGTCCTGGATAATGCAGCTGTGAGGGAGAGAAGGGCTTTGGTGAAGAATTGTCCCCGTCACCACCCACTCTTCCAGTTAGTTTTATTTTTAGCATTTTAATGGCACCTGGCTGATTTAAAATCTGTTTGGGGTGTTTAAGGCAAATAATTTACTAGGAGCCATCCAGTGCGTAGCAAAACACGGTGTTCATCTCTCTTGTGTGTGTGTGTAAAGGTCACTTCTCTCTATATGCAGAGATCAGCTTTTTCCTTCAGATTAATCATTTTAAGGCCAAACAGTGTAGAAAAGAGTGGAGCCACAAGCAGTGAAGCAGTGCTGGAGCTCTCCAGTGTCACTGCTCTACAGTTAATAGAGGTGACTTGGCCATCTACTGCTCTTAACATGTTGTTTCCTGACAGGTGCTGAGGTGTACGTTCAGTTATTCAGGTGCCAAAGTACATAAACTCCTCTGCATCTTGTAAAAAGGGCTTGAAATTACACTGACACAGGCAGCTGCTTCACTTAGAGGTCTTAAGTAAATCCCATAAAATCAGATTTCAAGGTGTGGCCAGTGGTTACTGAAGTCATTTTGGAGGGAAAACCCAAGCAGTGGTATATAGCAGTGTATTCTTCACACACAAACTCATGTCTGTACAGAAGTCCCTGGGCTTGTTTGGCTTGCAGGTATGTTTTTGTCTTGATGGATGTCACCCAAAGGACAAAGGGACTGCTCCTCCTTTTAATGAGCTCTTGACAGAGCACTGTCAGAGCTGCTCAGGTAAAGCTCATTTTGGTAGTGCACCCTGGTTTTAGGGGTTATGAAATTACTTCCTATATATTTTGTAGGGTGAATGTCATGGGTTTTTTATATGCAAAACTTCTCACTTGTCCACATATGTTGTTTTTTTAGAAACTATTTATCTATGATTTTGGAAAATAGGTGGCATCTGAAAAAGCAGCTCAGTACTGCAGTATACAGAGGTGAGGTGTTTACTCTTCGCCCAGCCATGATCTGTTCAAGGTTGAATGTTCCCTAAATCAGTTTTTGGAAGGCTGCTTGTCATGGGGACTATAGACAATCAACCACTTTTCAGACATCTTTGACCAGGCCCTATCCAATGCAGTCTGAAGTCAGATTCAAGTCAATCCCCTGGCATAAGGGACAATGGACATTGAGTGCTGTGAGTCGAATTCCTCTGTCATCTTGCCCAAATAAGAGAAATGGAAGTGGAATGATCAACTTCCAGTGCAGTCTTTGGAGATGTTACTGCTTTTCATGGGATTCTCTGAGGTTTTTTTCCCCAGCCATGTGTGATGCCACTTGTTCAGTTAACTCCTCAGTCTTCCTTTTATTCTAGTACCTGAGGGTGAAGGAAAGAGCCTAGACTCCATAATTAAGTTTATTGAGGAATGCATTGTTGAAGTCTCGTGGCTCTGGCTCATTGCCTGCATAACAGGCTTGAATCCCAGTGTGGAGACCTGTAAATTGTACTGCTACCTCCCTGAAATTACTGTCTGATTCTCTCTTTGCTTTCTTTGTGTGCTGCAGGACACTGCTAACCATCACCACTCCTTCCCTTGCCTAGTTTTAGGAATCTGGATGGGGTGGTTGTCAGAGTCGCAGTGTGTTTTGCTGTCCCTGGGTCATGCTCTGTCCATAGTGGACACACAGATCCTGGCCAGTATCTCAGACTGCTAACAACTCCAGCATAATCCTGGAGTTGAACAACTCCTAAAACTGCTTGAGAAAGTCCTGGTAGATGTAGTGCTTGGGATTTAAGGTGCTGTTATACACTTGATGGGAATGGCATATGGCTTTTTTTACTATGAGTGGGAAATACTTGGGTATTAAGGCTAAGTATGAAGTAGTCAAAATATGGTGTAGTGAGCCCTCAGCTTGACTGTCCCAGCCTGTGTCACTCAGCCAACTAAAGCTTTGTGCCTGATTACTATTCCATCTTTTGTAGTAGCAGTAGTGGATGTATTTACTTTTTTTTCACCTTTTGCTTAGATTCATCTCTTCTGAGTAAATGAAGAAAGTGACTATGAAGGCACAGCATCTGCCTTCTGTTTTCATCAATGAAGAGAAGTTCGTAACCAGGTAAATTATTAAAACCCTGAATATTTAATGAGTTTGCTGCTTTCTTTCAAGTGATTCCACATGTATTCCTTGACAGGGGATCCTGTAGACAGCTGAGTCTGTAGCCACAGCAATCCCTACCACTTAGTTTAAGCTGTCTACAGAGAAGAGCTGGCCTTCACATGGAATCAAAAGAACAGAGCATTAAGCCTTAGGGTCTGTGGGATTTGTTCCTTAAGGAGAACAGCCCCTCTAGAGGATTCTGAAATAAAATTACAAGTTAGGGAAGAAGACCTTCTTGTCTTGGAGATCTGTTGGAATTGGCCCTAAGTTCCAGAGTTGAGCTCAGCTTGGCTGCAGCCTGGGGTTCGGCAGCCCTGGATGTCAGTGTATCTGTGCAGAAAGACTTTTGGGCTGCTAGCTCTCTGCTGTGGTCAGAGGAAGTGTCTCTTTCACCTACTTGTAGAAAAAGCTCAGAATGGCAGTCTAACTGTCATTTGTGGGATGCTTTTCCACAGTTCAGTCTCCCTGGAAGGAATTTTTCTTCTGCTGGCCCAAACTCTGAGCCACCTGGTCTTTAGCTCCATCCTCTTTCTTAGGGAATTGTTTTTTGCCTGGTGACAAGAGCTCATGAGCTGGAAGGAGCCTTTCTTCTCTCCCCCTTCTTCATTTCCATGGCTCTTAGTCTTCCCATGGGAAAGAAACTACCTGTGGATTCAGCCAGGGATGGGTCTGCAATGCAATTTATTGTACTGCAGGAGAGATCTGTTCCTGACTCCTCATACTTTCCTGTGTGGCCTGGGCAATGCTGGTTTCTCCCTTTCCAAGGAAGACTGTCAAGGATTTGCCCAGAGCACAAAGGCAGCAGATGCATCACTCCCTTTCTCTTCAAGAGTTGTTCCCTTTATGCTGCTGTTAGTTTGGGACACAGTGCTTTTGTGTCAGAGGTAATTCATGTGTGTAAACTTGGCATGCAGAAGCCTTTGGAAATGTACCAGGTGAACCAGAGTCTCTGGGGCTTTATTCCTCTATGTACTTGCCTGTTCCTGTGGTGAAATGTGCATCCCAGTTGAGACCTTTCTGCATGACAGCCATGGTTTAAACTTTCTTCACCTTGCATCAAGGGAAATAAGTGTTTCAAGAACCACTGACATTCCATATGCACTCAGGCTTGCTTCCAATGCAATTTCCAGGCTGTCATCCCTCATCTCTGCCTTGAATCTGCTGTTGCACTGCTTCTCTTCCATTTCTATCCTGCAATCTTGCTGATGGGGCAAGCTTGCTGTTTGGGAATTGCACAATGGCTGGATCAAAAGGCTGACCAAAGGTTGTGGGATGATTTGGCTGGCTGAACTGCTGCCTCTCCAGCAAAACTGCCATAAATATTCAGGGATTGTGTGTAGGGCTTGAGCAGGAGAGAGCACAGGTGAGCTGTCCTGGGTTGGTGTTTCCAGAGAGCAGCCTGGGCTCTGTTGTGGTTCACATCTGGGGCACCTGACCTTGCAGCTCCTTTGTATCCTGCATTTGCTACTGGATAAAGTGGTGAATCTGCAGTGCATGTTATGTTTTTGGGCTGAGTTGTTCTGCCAGTTACTTGGCTTTGGTTTCTGTTAATGGCTGTGTTTGGCTGTTGTCACAACAGCTGCTGATTTTCCAGACACCAAACTCACCAGTGATGGCATCTGTCTCTAGGTTAGGGCAGCAGGAAGACATGCTACAGTAAGGCCCCTCCTGGAACTGGGCTGGTGCACATATTCCCTTCTGGGGCAAAAAGAAGGAAAATGGTTTTTTTCTCTTATGTTTCTTACACAAGGACAAACAAGTCAGAGTGAGCTGCTGGTAATCTCTCCCTCAGGGCTTTTCTAATTGCTTGTGTGGTTTGTCACTGTTGGTTGCACTAATGCAAGGCTGAAACCTGAAAGATCTACTTATGCACACTCCTGAGGAAGGTAACGGCAAGTTTTTCTAGACAAGGCAAGAAACTCTGGAAATCTTGAGGGCTTGGTCTGAGAAACCGAATCTGCTTCAGAGATGACCCTTACCAGACCACTAGCTGCTGTTAGTCTATGATTTTATTTGCCTTTGCAGTCAACATGGACTAAGAGTAATAAGTGAGCCTCAGAGTGTGCCCCAAGTCCTTAAGTATTTCTAATCCATCTTCAGGGAGCTCACCTTCCCAACTTCCTACTTGGAAAAAACCTGTGAGATAACAGCTGTCAATAAATGATTGCCAAATGCTGTGAAGTGCAGAGACTTGAGTTTGAAGCACCTCTGGAGCAGGATCAGCAGGTCTGTCACAACATCTGTCAGACAGAACTGCAGATCTATCTCCTACTTGCCTGGTAATCCTGAGCTGCATCTGGAGCTTGCCTGTGTACGAGGCCAAGGCGTGCTTCATCTTGCTTTCACTTGTCTGTAGCCAGTTCTGTGATCAGACCTGGGCTTGCTTCTGATTCACGTCCAAACCTCCTTGCATTTCCTTTTGGTGGGATGGTCTGAATGTGGTCCCTCACAGAGACACAAAGAACCTGGAATGAGCTATCTCAACCCAGTGCAAAGAAGGGCTTTTGCCACCAGTATTCTGAGGATTAAAGAACAAAGTAAGTTAATGTTGAGAATCCTTGTTTAGAATCCAGTTGATAAAGCTAGTTAAAAATATTTTTTGTGTGTGGGGTTGCAATAATGTAAAATAAATAATTTACATCCACAGAATTAGCAGGGAATGCAATGAACCTTGAGTTTAGTGCTGCAGCCCCTGTCCTCGTGTTATGTGCTAGGCTGAAAAAAAAAAGTTTGAAAAGCCCAGTTGATCTTTTCCCTTCTCACCATGGGAAAAGGCTGTCTGAAGCAACAGGACACTGTCCTGTTTATTAAGTGGAGAGGGAGGGATAGGTGTGCCAGGGAAAGCTCTCCACGTTCATCTGTGCTTGGCCCTGTGCCCCAAGCACAGCCTGGACGTGTTACCTGCCCCCCTGGCTGTCCCTGGTTCCTCTCTGGTGTGTGCACACCTGGGCCCTGGGGAAAGCCACATTCCTGGGGCCTGTCCCCATGCTTAGCTGTCAGTTCTCTGAGGCACCTCTTTATGTAAAACTGGTGGAGGAATTGTAATAGTGTTTCTGATGGTACATGAGTTGTGAACAGCTCCAGCAGCTCTCTAAGATACGTGTGCTACAGAGTTTGCAGGTGCTGTGTGTTCCGTCTGTGGGCCTGCTGTTCCAGCAGCTCCCACAAACATGGAAATAACAGGCAGTATTTGGAACCAAACTCAGTGTCCTCACACCTCACTGAGAGGTGTGACATGAAACCATTGTAATCCTTAGTCCACAAGGAAGGATTTGTACACTTCCATGCAGTTGTTCCCCATGGTTAACCACCTCTGCTGCTGGGAATTGCTTGCCTGAATTACAGTCTGAGCCAACTTTAAATGGTGTGGGGAAGAGTGTTTCATTCTCATGGCCTCTAAATGCATTTCAATACTTCTGTCATTGCTCAGCCCTTCATAGCCTGAGCTGCAGCTGGCTTTGTCTCCATGGCTCCTTTTTCTTGGCAGAGGTTCTCCTCATCTCCTATCTTTCTCCTCTCAGCAAAGACATGGTGCAAAGCTGTTTTGTTTCAGACAGAGAGAAATAGAAATGTTAGACACCCTGTAAGTGTTTGGAGATATGAAAAGTATCTGCAGCAGTATGAGGACTGAATGGAAGCCAGCATGCAGGGAAAACCAAGTGCAGCCTAATTAAAGCAACCTGCAGCACTGGTGCATGGGGATGTTGTTCTGTTCGCTTCCTCCTCATGACTGCTACAGAGGTGCAAAGTACAAGCTATGCTGGGGCAGCATTATTAATGTCATGTGAGGCTGACTAATTAATTTCTTCTGGGTCATTAAAGGAGCAACTTATGAGCAACCCAGTAACCTGGCAAAACTTTTCTCTCAGAAAATAATGTATGGATCATTAATAAACCTATACAAGGGTGCAGAGGGTAGCACAGTTATGGGGTGTTACTCTGCCATGTACTACCTGCATTTTACAGAGATGTTAAAAACATTTCTTTTTCATTGTGATCTTCATTCTAGAGAGCAGCTCAGTTCTCTTCTGAAGAATTATAACTCTTACTATTCAGATCAAGAGAATCTGCAACTGACATATAATCAGGTAAGGATTTAGGGGTGAGAAACTCCACTAATCTGGACATCACAAATTAGTGCTCCCTTCTCCTCCCAGCCCTGGACTCCAGCTCCACTCGCTGTGGTGTTGTTATTGCACGACAGGTTCCATCTAATGTAATAAACCAGAACTGGTTTCCTGAACTGATCAGGTCAGCCTGCAGCTTTGGCTGTTTTGGAAATTGCTCAAAACTGAGGTTACACATTCTCCAGGTAATCTGTTCCAGGGCTGTGCCAGCCTCAGAGATTTCATTGTAGTCCTGTTACTTTGAGGGGAGACAAGTTATTATTAGTTGATTATTTTTACTCCATTATTATGCAGCACTGACTATTTCCCTGTTTTTCTCCAGCAGGAAGGAAGCACCCCCTTCATTGAAGGAATCCTGTCGATATTCTGGGGCGTGCGGCATCCTATCAGATTAAAGATTCAGGATGAGAAGCAAATACCCTCTTTTGTAACCCTGAAGTCAACAGAGAATGTGAGCTTTTTCCCCAGTAAAAGGTAATGGTGGACTTCCCTAGGGAGGCTAGCATTGCAAGATAGCTCGTGTTGTGGCTTCAATGGCTGTGGCTGGCTGCCCTGGATATCCCAGATTCCCCAAAGGCCGTGGTGGTTGCTGGACAGCAGAGCCTTTGAGCAGCCTCTGCTGGGCAGGAAGGTGTGTGTTTGTACACCTTTGTTTGTTTGGCCCTCAGCCTGAGGAGCTGGAAGGAGGCTGCTCTTTTTCATGGCAACTGACAATTCCTATACAAGGACTGGGAAATTGGTGTATATAAATGTATAGGAAAAGAGCCAAACAATCCCCCTGTGTTTCCATGTGCACCTGATACTAGTAGCCCCTGAGAGGCCTCGTGTTGGTGCACACACTGGAGCATGAAGCCAGAATCTGGCGGGTAGTGCTGAGGGATTGTCTGTCCCAGCTTACAGGTATGTGAGGTCTGCAACCATTGCTGCTCAGGTGAAGTTCAAGTCAGGGAACAGATACTGGCTTTCTCTGTGCAAAATTTGGTCTAAAAACCCCTTAAAATACCCACAGACCAGCTGTTCCATAAACTGGCATTTTATGTCCCAGTGTGTTGTGCTCAGCTGATACAGGTACTCAGTGTACTTCTCCTTTGTTTTGTATGCTGTTTCCCCAGCCTTGGTTGGTGAATTTCATAAGCTGAATCTGAATCTTGTGATGCAGAGACAGAGCCAATGTTCACCCTGGATGACTCCCTGATAAATTGAGTATTGCAGAGTTTATTTTTCTAATGACTTATTGTCTTAGGTTGCATGTGAGGCATGTTGGAACTGAACTGGGGATTTAATTCTGCCACCTTTGCAGCTGTGGAGTTCCAGTAAAGTCTTCTTCCCCATCTCTGGCTGCTGAAATTCAGGGATGAATTTTGACAGGAGTAACTAGGAAAGAACCTGAGTTTTAGGCAAATCTGGCTCTCAGTTTACCTCGACCAGGTCTGCTGGTGTGGGTTGCACGTGGCCTGCAGGGCAGTTCTTTAAAAACTTCTGGCTGGTGGAAATCTGTATGCTAAAGTAAACATTCACTCATGATCCCAGAAACGTGGGGCTGCCCTGACATGCTTTAAGGTATGCAGAGCAGCTTGGCTGTCTGATCTTAAAGGAACTTGGTAAATGTGTGCAATACAACCAAGATCTTGTTTGGCATGTAAATTTGGGCTAGCTGAGTATTGTTGGGAATACATATACATATATATATATATATATATATATACACACACATATACATATGAAATTAATTTTTAATATTGTGCTATATATATACACACACATATACATATGAAATTAATTTTTAATATTGTGCTACAATTTGGTTTATTCTCAGTCAGAGCAATAACTGGATGAAGACCTTATGCTGAAGAGTTTGGGCATAAGTTTGAGTTAGCATGATTTAATATTGACATCTGAAAGGCTGGATGGAACTTCCTGCTCTCGTACACAGCTGGTTTAGACAGCATAAGTGTAACCTGTGTAACTCTGTTCTGTAACTATTAAACAACAATATGTGTGTTTTGTGTGTCTGCCTGGTAGTCTGAGTGTGATTAATCTAGGATGTTGCTGTAAAACAGATCAGGAATTACTGCAAGTTGTTTAGGTTGTGTCCTGGTTGATGTTCAACTTTACATTAGATGTGTTACATATGGGATCCCTGGTCATACCATATTTTAATATGAAGTTGTTATGACTTAAACTAAAATTACCATGCTGAAGTCTGTATGTTGAGCAGGGATAGGAATGTATGACATGACCCCTGGCCACAGGATAAACTTCAGTCACTGAGTTACTGAGGAGCAGTCAATGGTAACTCCGTGTTTGTCTTTCAGGGGAATGACTCGCTGGGGAGAGTTTGATGACCTCCATCACATCAGCGGAGATACACTGAAATCTACGGAGGAGCAGCCAGACCTCCAGCAAAGTTAGTGTCTGTGCTCTCAGGTTAACCAAAAATTCTGTGTTCTGTGACAATGCAAAAGGCCCCTCACATATCAGCCTTTCCCTGCCAGCCAAGGGAAATCTCTTTGCTGTGTGTCACATGCCCTGCAAGCTGGGGAAACACCCACCTAGGGCTGCTTAGGGCTGTGCAGGTGACTTGGTGAACAGCCAGTGGCAATGAGCTGTGCTTTTCATCCAAGAAATCATTCCCAAGGGAGCAAATCAGCAAACTGCAACCCCTGCAAGCAGCCTGTTCTTCATCATATGCCTCTGCCTTGTTCCCTTCCTGCTCCACCCCCCAAAAATAACAAATAGTAAACAGTAAATGAAGCCCTTCACTGAGAGCCTCCCTCCTCTGGGGGTGCTGGCAGCTGCACAGGACGCGTGGTTCTCTTCTATCCAGGTTATCCATGCTATGAAAGTCACACCCTCAGGTCCAGGAGGGAGCAGGAGCTCGACTGTGCCACCCTGCCCCGCAGCAGCAGCGATGCCGCGGCCGTGCGCAGGAGGACCAAGCTCCCCACCATCACCAGGACAGAAGTAGAAACTCACAGGTTCTCTATCAATGGCCACTTCTACAACCACGAGGTAGGAAATTTTAGGCTTGGCTTTGCCACCTGAGGGACAGGGAGCCCTGCCCAGTGAGGTGTGCCTCAGGCTCAGGCCGTGGTGTGGCTGCTCTTGTTCCCAGACGTCCGTTTTCACTCCGGCTTTTGGGTCAGAAACCAAAATAAGAATCAACAGCCAGATGAGAACCAGACAAGTGATAGAGCAGTTGCTTCGGAAGTTTAAGGTAAGTCTGCTGGCAGGAGGAAGCGTGGCCGTGTTCTGGAAGCGTTCATTCCCACGTGCACTCGCTCCAGCACTGCGGGAAAGATGTGGAATAGCTGGGCGAGGACAGTGCATGGAGCGGAGTGTAAAAAAGCCCCGATGGACAATTTTAACCCTGGCGGTGCTGCCCTCCCGCGGACAGCCCGGGAACTGCGGCTCGCCTGAAACAGCAGCGATTATCCCAGCGCCGGTCTGGGACGCGCTTTCCCTGGGAGCCGGGCGTGTGGAAAGATGGGAAGGTTACAGCTAC